TCGAAGCATAACGTGTAGTGCCAAAAGACCACCAGTGATTGGCGCATATTTTACGATATATTTAAAAGGATACCAAGTTGCTTGCTCAAAGCCACCAATTTCGTGCAAAGACATTGTGTTGCACGCCATGATTTTGAGCGAAACATACATGGTCATTGTTTTAAAGAAATTCAGGCCCACGACAAAAAGGTTTGATTCCCAACATACCTCGTCGAGCACACATCGTTCTCGACCTCGCCCCTTTTTCGCACACATAAACTCCAAGTCGCTGCCGACCAGTCATTCCGACTGCCTCGTAATCGTTCACGCTTCGCCTCGCCGACTTCTTTCTACGCGGAAGTGTTGTCGTTCAAGTCTTAGCTTCAAGTTTACTGTACGAATATGGTTTCGACCTCGCCGCCGCTGCGTACTTCATCGCCACCGCGTATTTTGCCGTCACCGCGCTCGTCAGCTTTGACGCGCTCTTCTGATCACACGCCAAATCAAGCACCACGTTGTCCTCCACCTCTTCGTCCCTGACGACAGCTTTTTTACGGCCAGCTACTCGTTGGATGGTGAAGATTCGTCGACGGACGACGATCGGTACTTCAAGGCGAGCTCGAAACTGCCTACGTCTGTTAAAGCTGTGCAGTGCACGCGCATGTGATTTCCTGCAGCACGTCTGGCTGCTGAACATAGAGCCGACGAGATCCTTTAATTACTGGCGGGGGAATCTCAGCCAGCCACTTGGCAGGCTTATCGTGATTCTTTGCGTGACTTCTCGGGTTACTCATCAGAGAAAATCCTTTTCTGCACATCCGACGCGGCTCTGCACTCATTGGGTGGTCTTGCGTCGCAGGTCTGCGGAACGATGGTCCATTTCCGCAAGTATTCGAAGTACGACAAACTGCAATTTGTGGATCCGAACCCGACTGCTAGGTGACGTACCGGACCGCACCATCTATAACTAATTTATGGAACGGCCCGTCCGGTGCTCATCACGCCTACTTATGTTGCTGATGGGCATAAGTCATGGGGCCGTATGGTGTACTCCAAGGCGGTTCAATGCACGGACGGTCTTTTCTAAAGAATGGTAAACCGCTTCGCGAGATCCGTTTTTGACCCGGAAAACAGATCCTGCTTTGTTCAACATCGCCTTCGTTAGTTCAACCATGTCAAGCCTCCGTCGCTTCGCCGAGTGGCTACTTAGCGGGATATTCCTTCGGATGATTACGTTGGTAAAGCCAACATGGAGATTGATGACAGCTCGTCTCACGAAGCCACTACGGACGATCTCCCGGGTTTTTTTTTTCTATTTCGTCTGTTGTCCGCGCCTCTGGCTTGAGTTATACTTCAACTGCATCGACGAAGATGCCGTCGACGAAGACTCTCATCTCAACTCCTTTAGGGCTACCACTTGAATGTGGACGCTCATTCGAGCTTATCGTCGGGATGTTACGCAGGAGGCCGGACCAGTGTGCATACCAGATGTTTCAACGACTTGCACCTCGGAGCAGGATCCTGCAGACCACTTTCACTGCGGTACTATGATTTGGTCACTGTGTACAACTCGTACGATGTGGTCACGGACCATGCCCATGATGCATCTCAGCCTCCTGATGTGGACATTGCAGTTTATGATCATCATGGCAATAGCCTTGCTGGGTTTCCTGCGGACTCACATCTGGTTCTTTAAAGCTCGGTCCAAGCCCTGATGGAGGCGCGTAAGCTCGAGCTTAAACGTCAACATTTTTTAGTTTAAGAACTGGATGCCTAGGTTGCGGAGTGTGTTGCTCAAGAATTGATGATTATCCCGTCTCATGATGATCTACTTGCGGCGATTCAAGTTCAACTGGCTCATCTTCGACAGATTTACAAGCTGCCATCAGATTGGATATTTAAAAACTTTTTGCACTCGTGTGTTTTATCGTGCTGTCAGCCATATATCTCTCCCTGCTGGAAAGAAGGATCCTCTGGAATTCTTATGTGCCACGTTTGGAGCCCCTGCGGTTTAAAAAGCTCAAATCTTCGACTACGTTTTTCTTGCTCATGAAGTCCACCGAGCAGCGCTGTGCTGGTCCAAATGTAATTTTTTTTTATGGTTTTCGCCCCTATAAATTTATATTCGACCCTGTGAAGCTTTCGATGCTGCTTCCGCCTGAGTCGAGGGCAAACTTCTTCGCAACTCGCCGTTTCTACATTGGAGAGATATAAACTTGCAGTAAATCACACATTCAGATGCGGTGGCTGTATTTTTGGCCGATGATCGAACCCCGGCCAACATTTGCCTTGCTATTCAAGCTCTCAAGGACACTACTCTACCTGCAGACGAATCTGCATCCAGCCAAGTCGTTCCAGATCACCTCAAAGGCGGCCTGAGCCTTTACTGGCATCTTGCTCAACATTGATAGATAAAACATCCACATATGGTGGTGTACGAGCGACTTCTTTCCAAGTATCAACTGGTGGCGTTTCAACTGACTAAATTTGTCAAGCCTGCCGCTATCCAGACTAACAAACACTTCATTTTTGGAGAGGATTCCGGCTCTTGCTGCTTTTGGTCCGACACCACTTCGCCTGTTTTCAATAAGCGACATGGTGTCGGTTTAGTGATCTCTTCTGCGGCACCTTTTCATGATATTCAAGATTTGACTCCAAGCGTCAGCAATTTGCAGCTTGAAAAATTGCTATCTACTTCTTCGGACTATGATGGATGGCGAATTTACGTACATTCACGTTTTGCATACGCGCCGGATGAATCATCTACGCGTGGTGAATTTTTCGAATGCTACCTACGGATTTTGACGGCGGCGATGTGGATGTCACTACTAAGCACATTCTTGTCGGAGATTTTAACGTTACTCTAAACAGAAATTTGGAACAGAAGCTTCCTGCACTACAACACCCTGGTACTGGACGCGAAGCCCTCATAGATTGGCTAGATTCACTTGGGGTGGACTCGTGGCGTTATATGTACACAAAAAATCGCGACTCTACCAGTCCCAAGCGCAAAAATCGACTGAAAAACTGCTTACTCACAGTGGATCTCGTCCAAGAGCATTTTGACATAGTGAGCCACGTCCGCGATCGACGTTGGCATACTGAAGATCATATTCCGGTTGAATTTAGGCTTCATGCGAAGCCTGTTTCTCGCAAGAAGCAGCCGCCTTGGATATGTCCTACGTGTCTGCTAAAAGACTCGTCTGTTCAACTTATTTGATAGCCTCAGTACAAAACTGGGCCAACTAATCGAGATTTTTCAGGGTGCAAACCCTTTGTTTACTCGACGAACGCAAGCGCGCGGACTGCATTTATTTACGGCAGAGATGGTTGGAACTTCGTCACATTGATGAAGTCACGCGCATTGTTTTTAAATGAAGCGGTCAATGAAGCTAACAATCTTCCATTATCACTTTAAAAGACGGGAGCTACGCAGTGGTGGAGCAACTAAATTGTTGTTAAAGACCCACCTCGTGGATGTGAAAGCTCATAACAAGTACAAAAAATTAGCTGCCGATTTACACTCTGGTAAAAGAGTCACCAGTCATTCCTTCCGACCGCCCCAACAAGATTGTTTGCAGTCTCCTATTACTGTCTTGAAAGATCAAGATGGTTTTGTGACCGATGACCATGCCCAGATTTCGACAGGACACCATAAATTTAGGGTCAACATTTCCAGTCGCCTTCGTTGGATCTCTAGGGTCAAAGCAAGGCCACATACCAGCCTGTTCGACTGGTTGATTATCTCCACGACAGGACGGCTCGCCTATCGATGGATCGAGATTCACTGATGGATGCGCCTCTAACGGCTAATAATTCTTACTTGGCTATTACGACTTTTAAAAAAAGGGAAGGCGCCTGGTCCAGATGGTCTTTTAAATGACTACTGATAGTGCAATCTCAAAAGCATTACAGGGGATTTAATTAATTTAGAATCTCTTTTTTCTTCAAACCTATCGAGTGCTTTAAGTTGGCTATTCACGAGTGGGCTAGAATATTTGAAAATGTTCGTGATGTTAGCTACGACTTGGCAAGATGACTAGGTTTCAGTGTAGGGCACATTTATTCTTCCTCTAAAAAGCTGGTAACCGCACGCTTCCAGCTAATTACCGACCGCTCACACTGCTTAACCATGATACGAACCTAGGTCCCAAGATTTGGGCTAATCATCTACGACTCGTGTACCGCCTCTCATTCACGAAGATCAAAGTGTTTTATTCATGGTCAATCTATTCGACACATATTGCGTCTCTTTCAAGATCTACAAGAGTTTTGCAAGGGACACCACCCTGATGCTTGCGCGTTGATGTTAGACTTTGCCAAGGCATTGAAAGTGTTTGTGGCCTGCGCTGGATTTGGTACTTCATCACTTCGGTTTTAACCCAAATTGTCGGGCTTGGATCTAGACATTTTATTCGCAAAATTCGGTCAGTTTCATACTGAATGGATCACCGGAAAATTCTTCGTGTTGGGTGCTGGTGTTCGCCAGGGTGATCCGCTGTCACCTGGGCTATTCGTTCCATTTATCGAGCCGATGATGATTGTTTTGTGCGCTCTATTTTCAAGCCACGGAGTTGTTGTTGATGGATATGATGATCCTCATTTACTCATGGCATTTTGTAGACGACTGTACTGGCCTCCTCACGGATATCGATGATGCTAATGGATTTTCTGGATTGGTCAACGATTACTCCAGTGCGGCTGGTTTTCTTCAAAATTTTAGTAAGACGTCAACGATACCGTTCTATCATCGGATATAACAATAGTAATTGGCTGATCTTCGAGCTAAGCCTCCCTTCACGGTTCTCGGAGTGACGGACACTGTGAAGCTACTTGGCATTCTTCAAGGCGCTACTATCACTGCTGACACTCTATTTTGTCTTGTGATCTTAAAGTTACGAGCGCGCTGTGCTATACGGAAATACTAGACACGGACATTACGTGAAAAAGTTGTTCGCTTACAGAGTATTACTTTACCATTGCTTTGGTACACTATGAGTGTGACTTGTTTCACAGCCTCGATGTTAAAGAGCGTCGCAGTGATTTTTCGCAACTTTGTCAACACCAAGGATAATGACGGCGACTCAGCTAACCCGGGCAAGTTCGGAAAATATGGATCTACGCAAGTGCGGGACAAGGTGGATTAGGTTTTATTCCTGCTAAAGATTTTGTGCGAGCCATGCACTTGAAGTCGTCAGTCGATACTATATCTTTAACATGCTCCAATTGTGATGCACCGCGCTGGATGACTCCTGCTCTTTCTATCTTTTCGATGACACTTGGATCTCAAGTTTACGGATTCGACTTACTAAACGCAGTGGTCAAGGGCATCTAGAAAGTTATAACGAATTTCGGCTCTCTACGCTTCGCTTATGGACCGATTTACACATGGCCTGTGAAACTACCGATCGGAAGCAGTTCTCACAAACAGCGCCATTAAAAAAAAATCAATGTTCTCTTCGGCAAACGCAGCGATCGATGATCAAGCGGTCGACCAACAACGCCTCGCTGCAAGCACACAGAATGTGTCGTCAACAAGACTTTGTGCATAATTTTGGGTCCTTTGCGACGACCGAGTTTTTGGCTGATCTTTTAAACGTTAAAGACTTTCCTCGAACTTCTTCAAAGGCTCAATTTATCGCGAAAGTGATTCCACGCCTTGACCTGATCACGCATCACACGACTCCGGATCCGGGCCAGTTTTACCTATTTTAGTTGAATTGTCAAGGCACGATTAATTTCTGATAATCATTTAGTAACTGCTATGACGAACAAGGACTTCTTTCGACTTCTTCTTAAGGCACGTCAAGATCCAAAGACACCTACGTTAACCTTACAGCAGCTTACTATTGCCGACCTTACGCCTACGGACGACATGCGGAATCTCACAGCTTTCACGTCACACGTGAAGGCTACTCCTATCTGAGTTACTCAGAATGGGAGGTAGTCGGCCGCATGCGTGTGCTCATTGGCGAACTCGCCATCAGTGGCACGTTGGAGTCTTTAAGCAGAGACCAGCAACATGCTGCTATTAACAAGTTCCTACAAGGTAACTTGCCGTCGAAAGACAGAAGATAGCCATACATTTATTCGGCTTTTATCTGTGTCTTTCCTTCAATGGGACTTCTACTACTACCTTTTCGGGACTTTTTGAATGGCGAAATTACTTGGTCGAACACACTAATTCCATCTTCACTACGACTACTCCCGTCAACTATCAAAGTGTTTGGTGCACGAGCGCTATTAATTGTCTTCATTATACTTCGCTGCTGCGTCATTCAGTCATTATGGCTACACCGAAACAAGCGACTCTACAACCCAGAGACTTCTACTAATGCAATATTTGTCCGGCATTACTATTTCGCCTATGTGGAGTTACACTTACAAAAAATGATGTTAAACGCAGACCGAAAAAATTGGCAAGGCATGACGCGTTTGTTGTGGGCGTTTACGCCTAGACTTTCATTATCTGCTTCAAACTGCACTACCAACTCTCATCACGACGATTGACAACTGTCGGCTACGAGTGATTTCGCTTCATGATTTCGCCTTGAGCGTTTTCTTTTGTTATCGTTTATACGGGGCAAAAGCAATACGCTTTGTCTTTCAATTGTTTGCGAATTTGTGATGCGAAAGTAATACTCTTTAAAGCAGTTAAAATTGTTTTGTTGCTTCTTTGGAGGTATGGAGATCTTGGTTTCAAAGCCGATCTGCCAAATCAAGGCGGATCGTTTTCGAATCGGTGTCACAACCGGTTCATCACAAACGTTTCAGCTCACATCGCAGAAGCTTTGAATTTACTCCGTTTGCAACTCCACGAGCGCAACGGTTTCAAGTCAACACTTGCTTGGTTGAAGCGTCATCAATTTACCCGCAGTCTGTAGTACTACATCCACTTAGTGGTTCGACGAAGTGTCCAAGCTTCTTCTCTACCGAGAGTTTATGGTAACTCGTGCTCATACTACCGCCGAAGCAGCGCGTCCCACACCCCTTCAAGTGGGACAGCAAGTGGCTCCTCGCCCTCTAAGTTTAACTAAAACATTTGGATAACAATTACAACCGTCGCTGCCTCGCCCGAGTGATGTATACACACCCCTTAAACTCGGTCTTTAAGTCTTCACCAGACTTGTAAATATCCGGATCCAGGCCAAGCCCCGCGCAAACGATTCATGTGTTACCAAGTTCGGTCCATGATTTGCCTGATTCGATTCACGTCCGTGCCATTTACAAGTTTATCGTCTCGTTATCAAGAACTGTCATCCCGATGTCGAGACCACGTGTATCGACAGAAGCCGATGCTAACCATGCATAACCATTCCAAGTGATCTCTTTTGGTCCACCCCCCACTCGGATGGTCACCCAAATTGTCTACAGAACAAGTCGTCGCCGTGCATCTTTGTCCAATTTATTAGGATAAAAATCGGATCAAGTCTACCCTGTTTAAAGTGATCCCATCCCATGACTTGAAGTCTAGTATTTGCTATGACTAGTCTCAGCGCCATACCTCAGGAGGCCCGAAGGTCAGTCACTGCACAAGTAATTAAACCCTGTCTTAGTGGCAAGACCGATAATGCCCACGGGCGGCGTCGTTTATTAGCTCACCGATTTTTTCTTATCAAATCAATTATCTTACCTATAAATTTTAGGGATATAAAGATATTGAATAAACAATTTTCTCACGAGAAAGGGGTTCAGCGACAAGCATGAAAAGAATGATAAATAAAGCAAAGTAGAAAGAATGGCATCAAATCATTAAACCGAAAGTTGCTTAGATTTTACGCCTACTATGCGAATTGTGCCATGTCAAATTAATTTTTTTTTATCAACACTGCGTACTCAGTGCTACCAAATTACTCATGTGACGCATAAAACTGGTATTACAATCGATGCGAGAGAGCTAGCTGATTCTATTTCAGCCTGGTGAAATGCGATTAACACTTCCCCAAAACAATATAGTATTTTGGTGCTTTGTTAGCATGGAAGATGTCCACACTGAACCCCGAAGGTTGCAAGAATTTGTTCCACGACGTATTTTTTAATCGTACTAACTTACACTAACTAATTTGTTCCACGACGTATTTTTGAATCATACCAACTTACACTAACTTAATATAATAAACACGATGAGCTACTACCGATTAAATTTAGCTAATGTATATGCTACAACTTTTCATTAAAAATTAGCTTGTAAGAGCTAATTGGCATTCAAGTCATCAGGAAGCTGAACCATTCTGAAGATTCTGAGCTGTCTACAATAACATTACTTTTGATAAATATCACGTCTTTGTATATTTAATGACAAGGACGCAAACGTGTTAATTACAATTCAATTCCATAACTGAATCCGTCTAAAGATCTCCATTTCGGTCGCGTCAATAATGTAACGGGGCACCCTGAAGCTTGTACTGGTGACAGTACAAGCTACTTATTCTGATAACAGAATAAGGCGGTGCCTCGTAACTTCACGTACACTCGTACGTGCAGAGGAAGACAGTAAGAAGAAGCGAGTACTCGGTTAGAGTAAAAAGTAGAACTGTATTTATAATAGTTAATGTCTGCAATAAATCACTATTTATCTTCATCTAACTATGTCTAAATACAAATGTGTAAATCAGTTATCTGCTCACCACTCATTGCGTGCGTCTGTCGTGGCGCGTCTTCGTTGGTTGATATAATGGCCTATATCAACCAATTAGAACTACTTGGAAGTGCTACCGAATATTGTCCTTATGACAATATTCTGAGAATATAACTCTTATAGTTATATTCTATTAACAATTTCTTATAAATTGTTATGTAACGATTCACCCCGTTACATCACCCCCTTAACCATCAGTCACTTTAGTGACTGATTGACTAAATGGATACTCGTCCCAAATCATTTTGGGACGGGGTTTGCACTTGTTGGTCCGCGTCCACTTTCCAACATCTCATCGCATGGTAAACAAGCCCATGCGATGCGCGAGCAAGGCCGCCGAGAGCGCGTCTGCACGTCTCTGTGCGGACGCCGAAGCCGAAACTACAGCAACTGATGTCCCATCGGTTGCTGAATCGACTCAGCCTGTATCACCTGGTGATGCAGGCGCTGGTCATGAAGACACTCGTGTCTTCACAGAGTACGAGCTCGGTGTCTCGTACTCTCCTGATACGGATGACGGATCCGTATCGACGGCAATTGAATCCAAGCCGCCTGCCAAGCGTGGCATGGACGATGCTTTGCGTCGCAGCATCTTTGGTTCATCTGATGAGTCAGATGAACCATCGCCGAAGCGAAGGCGCTCGAGGTCGCGAGACTCGGGCGCTAATAGTGGTGTCGGTTCTCCTATGGACACCACTTCACAGCGAGGTGCCAGTACTTCTGTCGGCACGTCGCAGGAAGAGCGGGACCGCAATGTGTTGCGTCTCGCTCCAGAAAAAGAAGGCATGGATGCCTCCTAAATCCGTCATGGATCACTTGTCGGCGACGACGAGTGATCGTTATCGAGCACGATTGTTCGATTCGTCAGGAGATCCATCACCTTGACCCCAGCGCGAAAGACTATCGCGCTGAACATGAGTTCTTCATCGATGCTTTCTTCAGACATCGATGGTACAGTGGGAATCACAAACGTGATGGTCCCTCACTACTTCAGGCGTGGAACGCCTACATCCATAATCTCGAGGATGTAGGTCGTGACGCTTGGAACGACAAACTTATCAAAGCTCGTGATAAGTTTGAAAAGCGAACCCCGACAGGTGCACGCTACAAGCTGCATCGTCTGTCAAGGGAGAAAGGATTACCCTGCCTCTCTTGGGAGACTCGTGCCCATGTTGTGTGAACAACTCTGCACGAGCACCTAAGGAGGCTTACCTCCTTACCAGCCCGTGGTGGCGCGTACGTGTCTCTACTGAGATGTACGAAGGGATTGACAACCTGAAATCCCTTTACGACCGTGCCGGGAAGACTTTCTCCGGCGGTCCTTCTGCGGCACAGGATGTGTCGCGTCGTACTGCTCGACCAGACCCAGTACGTCAACCATCAGTGGGAGCGGGGCTCCCAAGAATCCCAGGACGGGGGATAGCCGCGCCACCGGACGAGGTAACTCGTCCGACGTCCGTTCACGTCGCGGTGGTTCAACAGCTGCTCTACTAGATAGCGCTGGCCACC